CTATTAACACTTTTTTTCTTTATTTTTACTGTAGGAAGAAGATATTCTTTAGAAGTCGAAATGAAAAATTAAATCTTTTAAAAATAACGTAAGACAATCCTGTGACATATATGTTGTATATTGTCAAAGTATGATTTCTTTAAAACAACCAAAAAAGAAAAAAATTTTTTGAGCCTTTCTGCAAATGTCTGATTGTGTGAGGTTTATTCTTACTTTATCAAAAAAAAGCATAATTTCTGGAGAGTATATACATCCGTTGTTTCAGCGAGAATTACTTAAGGCAATCCAAAATTTGTGGCAGATGTACTTTATTTTCTAATAGAAAGCTTGAAAAAATTTTCTTTTTTTATGACGTGATAAAGAAAAGTATACTCTATTTTTCTATGGTATTTGATCGCTATTCAACTAATATCATAATAATAAAATTTCGATAAGAACTACTTTCGTTGAAAACTAGTTGGTAGCATTAGATCATAATGGGTGCGGCATAAAACATGAAACACTTTTGCATTTCATACCACAAGATACAACATGAAAAGCTGTACAATTTATAAAGGATCGTTTATTTTATAGTTGCACTTTTCTTTTCAAAGTAGACAAAACTCTGAGCGTGCAAATGTCGACATTGCGAAAGCGAGATTCTTTTCGGTAAAAGATGAATTCGTGTTTTTTCCATCTCATCTTTTTTATAATTGTTCTTTCTAAATTGTAGAGCTTTACACGCTGTATCTTGTGGTATATTTTGTTTTTTTAATACAACCTGTTACGTGATAACAAAGTAAAATGCAAAGGTGTCACACCCGTTATACTCTACTGCTATCAGCTAGTTTTCAACAAAAGCAGTTCTTATCGGAATTTTATTATTATGATATTAGTTGAATAGCGATCGAATAGCATAGAAAAATAGAGCATCGTTTTCTTTATCACGTTATGAAAAAAGAAAGAATTTTTTCAAGGTCTCTATAAGGAAATAAAGTACATCCACCCAGTCAGACAAGATTTTGGGAAAACGTGTTTAAACGCCCTGAAATCAGCATTTTTTGGCGTTTTGCGGCGTGTTTTTCAAAGTGGCCATGTAACTGCTGGTAACTTTGTTTTTCAAAGCGCGAAAACGGGCAAATATTCTCTTGCTATTATATCTGGCCTCATAAACGCTCAAAGTAGTTATGTTAATAGCGTGTAAACGCCCATTTCTTTCGATGTGCGTTTTAACGATCCAAAATATCAAATGCAAGATGTTTTTTTTGGAGAAATTCTACTGGCGTCTACAGAGTGCTAAGTAGCTGACATCAACACTTCCATAAATTGAACAGTTCTAACGTTTGAATGCATGTTAAATAATTCCGCTTTTTTTTTCTCTAATTATAGCGTTTTAACGCTGAAAGTAGAGGTTTATAAGCGTTTTCAACACAAAAATTCTTAGCTCAATTCCCTCGCAAGCTTTTATTGTGTTTACACGGTGATGAAACGGCGCCACGAGTTTTTAAGCGCATGTATACATAACAGATTAATAGATTATTTGCGTTTAAATGAGTGTGGCGAAAAACGCTTTATTAACAATACAATTTTATAACTTTCATCGTTATCACGCACATATATTTTTTTTATTAGTCCTCTATTTTTAATCATTTAAACGGCTTAAACGCTAAATCTTTCGACACTTTCATGTTGTGTTTATAACTACATGTTAAAACTATTTAAAGCTCAATATATTATGCGTGTTCTATAAATATTTTTTCTCACATAACTAGAATACAGACTGATATTTCCTATAAAAACCTCGAAGGCTGATTTTGTTTAAAGAGCAAAACCGAAAGAGATGTAATAAAAAGTAATTGTTTTGGAAAAGAAAGAATAGTAGGAAGAAAATGTTGTTGATATTTCTAAATATGAAGATAATATTTATCTCAGCGAGAGCATATAAGAAGTAATTTTTATTTAAGTACTCTCTACTGTGTTTGGAAATTGAAAAAAAATGAAAAATATCTTACTTACTATAAACAAATTCTACAATAATATCGTCCATAGGAATTGTTACTATATTGGGTGGATCTGATAGTTGTCCCAGAATATAAACAGGCTGACTACAGTATTTTTTTGAATGTGAAAGAATCTCGTTGATCGATGGATACTGGGTGAGGTCTGGGTGTGGCTGTGGGTGGATGGGGTGTGGGTGTAGGGCAGTACAATACAACACATCTACACCCACACCTACATCCTTATATATTGTATACAGCAAATGAACATAGTATTAATAACTAGCGAGAAACCGTGCATACTGTGCGGCTGGTTTCTCCTTTAACGTATGGCTTCAGACGTTTAATTCTTCATCCGATAACAGACATACAGATACGCGATATTACGGGTGTGGGGTGTGGGTGTGGGTGTGGGTGGGTGTGGGCGTAGGTATGTGGTGTGGATGTGAGGTGTGGGTGTGGGTTTGGATGTGGGTGGGTGTGGGTGTTTATATTCTCTTCATCAGTCCACACCCACACCCTCACACCCACATCCACACCCACACACCCATACCCTTTTGGCGATTAATCGCGATTTTCCCAGGAAAAATCAGGACAAGTCGCAAATTTCAGGGATCGTATCGCGATTTAGCAGGGCGATTAATCGTGAGAATTTATTGTGATAAATCGGCAATGTACGCTTAACTGTTCACAATCGGTAATGTTATGGGAAATCAAATCATATCATTCATCTTGCCGTTTCACTATATTAGTAGCTCTATCTATTTCCATACTGCAGCGAGTTGGCTCTGTTATTAATACGTTCTATAGATTATTTTCGTTACTTGTTGATTCGACTCTACTTCTAGAATAAGAAATATAAACAAGATGAACTTCGATGAAGCCTTCTGACAGGCAGTCTAATGTCATCTACATATTTAATCGAATATGTGCCGTTGTTTGTTGAAGCTTGGTTTTGTTGGAAAAATTGACAAAAGATCATCAGTTTTGACGATATATTGCGATTTAATCTCATGATTAATAGCTCGATTAATAGTGATAAAATCATCGATTATGTCACGATTTTGAAGATATGGGCTGTAATTACAAAAAGTTTCAAGACAATTTCACAAAGACAAACGATACAGGTTTCACAATTTTTTTCGTGTAATAAAAAAGCACAATATAGTATAACAAAAGAAATAGATTGCCGTACATGAACATCTAATTAAGAGAATTGACTATTATCAACAAAGTGCTTTGTTTTCTTCATTTCTCTATACACATAAATTTCGAATTAAGTGTCCGCTGAAAAATGAGAGATTATGCCAAATTATAATCCGATTTTTGAGCAACAAAATCAAAATTATAATAGATTGAAATCTTAAAAATCAACCGCAACCCGATTTTTCATCAAAAATAATCTTCAAAAAAACGATTATTGTTTTTGCTAAAATCGTATACTTTTGATTAAAATCATATCAAATCAAAAGAAAATATGATTTTAATCAAAATTATACTTGATTTCGAAGATCCTTTTCGACTGAAAATCAGATTGGGGTTAATTTCGAAGATTTCAATCGATTATAACTTTGATTTTGTTGCACTAAAATCCAATTAATAATCTAGTATAATCTCATATAATTTAATATTTTTTCACTGAGTGGGCTTCTATTATTTGGGAAAGTTATAAAGTTAAGACTGGACTTCTATTCTGTGGGGGGTTTACATTAATCTGATTGAAACTGATTTTAGTTTTCTTTGGGAATCAATAAAATCGTTTTTCAAACATTGGAATCTATCATTCTGTTCACAATGATATTTCAATAGGATTTTAAATTTGATTTTTATATTTAGTATTTAGATGTAAGAAACTTTCTGATAAGATAATTTCATTCGTACAACTCTCGTGAGATCCTAAACTTCCATAAAACATTCAGTGGATTGTCTTCTTTTCACTGATGTGCGCTATAGTTACATTAATTTTTTATATCGGAAAAGTGAATGAAGGATATGAGCAACCAATAGTATACCAGTCTAAACAGAATTATTTATTATGTAAAAGAGAATACATCCTATTCCGCGATGTTGCACAGTGCGGAATCGATTCCGCCCTGGAATCAGTTCCATCAGATTCCGGAATTCCTAATCGTCGAACTAACTGGTCTTGTTCGAAAACGATCGAATCCCTTCCAGTTCCGAAATTACCGGAATTGCGACTAGTTCCCAACGATTCCGTGGAATTCCTTTCCGTTACGGAATCAGGATGCAATTTCGGTAATTTCGGAACTGGATGGAATTCGATCGTTTGCGAACAAGGCGAGTTAGTTCGACGATTGGGAATTTCGGAATCGGATGGAACTAATTCTGAGGGCGGAATCGACTTCGCAATGTGCAACGTCGCGGAATAGGATGACTGTTCATGTAAAAAGTACTGTAATATGGCAATGATCTACGCAAACCATTTATTTGATGTCTTTTAATATTTGTCTGGTAATAAAATGATTGTCTCAGATTGGTTACAGCTCGTTTGATGTGACTCAATTTTCGTAATATATTCAAAGCGAATTTAAAAAAAAAACTCCATTGTATGATTGATTTCATACATAGTCTTAGGGAAAGTGTATTAAAAAATGATCATTAAAAGATATCTGGCTAATAACAACAAAATCAAACATTTTTATTGATATTTCTTTGTTTATTAATCACACTGATGACAACACAATAGAAAAAAACGATTTGTATAATATTAGTTGATCATACATGTAAAATTCGAAAAGCTGTTTCAAGTTTTCATTTTTACAAGGATACAACATAGTGAAGAATACTGATATATTTGGAAATGTCAGACTAAAGCAAAGTATTTAGTTTGATTGATGAAGATGCGACCAACATCTGTCTTTGGCTATCATTCGATCGACGAAAAATGTGTCGTTATTTCTTTTAGTTTATTCAACAAATAGTTAATAATGTTCGATCTAGTAAATAGCATAGCGTGAATTTTTAAATTTCCAAAATAGAAGTACACCGAATCTTTTCATTAGTCTATACAATAGATGTATTATTCACGTATGTTTGAGGACGATCCGGATGAATAGTATTTCTTCCTCCTTTTTTCGTTAATGAAGTATTCTTGTTACACGTTTGATTTTCATCTAATAGTGTTCGCTGAATTCTTAAAGAAAGGCATTGTAATAGGCCCATCGCTGTTAGAGTGAATTTAAGTCCACATTTAATACAATGTTTTAACTCAATACGAAATCTGGGACCAGAAAGAGTATAAATGTAGAATCCAATAGAAGGATTAATATAATATAGCATTCGGAAAAGATTAAATAAAAAATCATAAATAGCCTGTTCTGATGTTGAAAATTTCTGATTAAGTATAGTTACAGCAATTGAATTGTACATATTGATAAGAGTCCAAGGACCGACAAATATAAAAACAATTAATATTTGTAATAAAAGCATTATAATTAATTGTCGATCATTTGAGCGCAAACGTTCATTTCGCATGTTGTTATCTTGTGAAATGACACGATTACCAACCATACGAACATTGATGATAGTCAAAATACCGAAAATACACATTAATGTTAGGGGTAATATACAAGATACAATGCGAACAAAAAAGTTGAAAAAAACTACATACTCATTAGGAAGGATAGTACAGTTGGGTATGCCATTGATGATTACAGATCTAGCAAAAACAAAAACGTGGATGTTAATTAAAAACATGAACACAGTAGTAATTATAATAGTTTTTCGTGCTACTGATAAACTGCTTAGTTGACGAAGTCGAACATTATGTGAACTTAAGAAAAATCGATCAATACTGGCAAGTACAACAAACCATAGAACAAGACAAAGAGGAGGATATATAAGAAAGTAACGTATTTTACACCAAATCATATTCGTAGCTGCTGGATCCAAATTCCAACTAGTTGCAAGATAACGCGTAAGTAAGGCCACATACATAACAAAGAAATTGGCAATTGAACCAGCCAAAAAGTATACTGAACATGGATTATTGCATAATGAACGTCGAGTAAATATAATAATATTGAACAAATTTCCAAATGTTCCAAAAACAATGGAAATAACTGGAATAATGCGATTGATCCAAAATGTGGCAGTGTTTAGATTTGCAACTAGATTATCAGTAGTTGAATTAGACATTATGAAAAAATAAAATCAATCGAGAATTAGTAAGAATGACGTTGAATTGTTGCTTTTTATTACTCTAACAAGTAAAGTTACAGAGAATTGGATATTTATTATTGAATGACAGTTTTGTACAAGAAAAGTATTTGTCAATATTACTCATTAGAGTTGGACAAAATATTCAAAGTATTTGTGCTTAAACTACTCTTCTCAAAAATCTATCTCAAAGCCAAGTGCATTGAAATCACATGCAATTTTCAGAATATTTTTGAGCTATAGTGGAGAGACAATGATAAAGTTTTCAGCCTTATACTATGCAGTTCGAGAAAGATATATACCAAACGATGGTCAAACTACAGCTTATTTTGTTCGCAAGCATTCTCTGTGTGCCTTTGTTCAATATATATATATGTTTGAATGAGTGTCGCAGAACCCAGGTCCCATGAGAGTCCTTTTTTAAAGCTCTCATTTATCAAGCGGAGAGCAGGATTAACAATTTTAATCACTCTCAAAATTCTCAAAACATATCATTATGATTATAAAATTGCTTTTTCAATATACTAACAACACAAAACGTCATAGGACCTGCAATTTTTGACCCTCTTTCAAACAAAAAACCTATTTGATTTTAAACAGTACTATGGTAGAATACCGCTACAAATACGGGAAGTCGTCGTACGTAGAAACAACATGCGTAGTGAAATTTAGTAAAATTCCTACATCCCTAAGTAAATTATCAGGAATGGAGCCGGAATTTTGACGAGGATGTAGCAGTGGCGTAGCCAGACATTTTCCAAGGGGAGTGCCGACTCATCATTTGGCGTGTACACCAGCAACAAAATAAATTTTTATTTCTCCAAAAGATTTTCCACTAGTACTCACTTCCAGGCGTTTTTTTGGCCAAGGGGAGTGCCCGGGCACCCGTGCACGCTCCCCCCCGCTACACTCCTGGGGTGAAGATAACCTACTTCCAGTATGTCCTGAAATTTCCAGTTGTATACGCTTTATAAGGACAGAGATCTTATTTTGACAGACTAATGAAGCGAAAAGCCAATTAGTGATTTTATTTTAAGGAGAAGGAGGCCTTCAATGGATCTGTTATTTGACTATATTTATTAACCCGTCGAGGGAGCAGCTCGCATATATCCAGGCTCAAAACTTTAATGAGTTAGTAAAGGAATTACTCATTAGTTCCATCTATAGTATATAGCGATAAGTTGATGAACCTTACTAGTGATATGCTGCGAGCTCTAGGGATATCTGTCATAATGTACCATCATTTATTGATCACGATCTACACAGAACTATAAAATAAGAAGATTTATTGCTCAACATTGTCCTTCTCATGTATCCCAAATAATGGAAAGAAAAACTCCTCAGAAACAATATGTTGTATGTACACATACTAATAGAAGACTTAAGAAGAGAACCGATTGGCATTATATGTGTAAAGATTATGATGTGGGTCTTTGAGTTCTTGGTTGCTTCTAAAATTTTATATCTTGATAAACTTTTTCTTTTCTATTTCTTCCTACGCGTTTTTTTTTTATTTGAAAATAAACCAGCTGCATCTTTTAGATGGGATCTATGGGCAATTATTATGACTGTTAACAACTTTCAAAATATAATTAATTTTGACAGTATAATTTCATTTTTTATGAAAAAAAAAGTCTGCCCCCAAAAGTTTAACTAAATTGTCTTCTATTGACAGTTCCATGAATTAACCGAGCCAATATTTGAGTATAGATATAATTTACAAAAATCCTAAGAATACTCTTTAAAAAGCTGTTAACGCAATCCCTTGCGAGATTAAAAATGGGAAACACGATATACCTATTCTTACTAATTCTATAAAAACTGCTCTTTTGTGAAACGCGATCTGAAAGAAGTGTTGAAGAGTTTAAGAATAAAAATTTGGACCCACCCCCTCCCATCACAGACCGTGACAGACATTCTTTTCTCAGAAAATTTCATATAAACTGTTCGCAAAATTAAAAACATGAAAATCTGTGTGTTATTTCTGTACATTGTCTGTAGACTAATTCCGTACAGTGTCCTCATTTTACTTTGCAGAATTTGATAAAAAATATCGAAAATCCTAAAATACTTGAATATCATATCAATTATTTATATAAAAGAAAATTTTGGTTGCATCATTGGTACTGGGTACATCGTGTTTAACATTTTTAATCCCACAAGGGATTGGGCTAACAGCTTTTTTACGTATACTGGGCATATTCCACCAGCATTGCTAAATTGACAGAGTAGATCTTCATAAAGGAAATACTCCATCAATACTTCGATTAGATGTTAGTTATCGACGTGGCCACGTATCGGTCACCCTGGCATGAGGAAGGTTTATATCCACTAAAAATGAAGAAAACTCTCTCAAAATTCAAAAGTTCACTAGTGAAAAAGAATGAGAAACGTTGCAACCTCTGAGATACATTGTTGATTAGTTATATCAACCATGTTGTTCGTCCGATAAGTGTCTGAGCAAGGATTTTTTGACGCATTTCACCAAAAACCAATTCGTTTTGAGCCCCGTTACATTTCATTTTTTGCCCAAAAAAGAGGCCAAACTTTAATGTTATTCTGCTTTGTAGGTGGAACTAACATATTTGCACGATAGATCTATCTCTGTACTATTCTCGGATATGAAAAATGATGGGTTTTCATCGTGATAATTGAAAGCTTCAGGATCCTTACCTGTCTCCATTAGAAAGTCAAAAAAAAAGAAATTCCGTAACGAATTGAAATTCCGTAACGGTCTGTATTTATTGAAGTACTCAATTATGATTAGACAGAAATGAATAAAATTTTTATTGGTAATAGATTTTAGGTATCTCTATGTATTACAAAATTTTAGCAAGTTTGCTTTTACTTTTGAGAAGCTACAGGTGTCACAATACGAAAAAATGAAATTCCGTAACGCCTGGTCACGCCCTTATCCAGAGCATTTGATAGTCTGCTAAAGGGAGTTATCATTCGCTGTGAAGACCCATGAACAGTGTCTGTCACGGTCTATGGCGGTTAATTAGTTAATCAAATACTAATTAATTAATTAAGATGTCTATTACGGTTTTTGATGGGTTCGGAGCTTATCTGCCACGGTCTTTGATGAGTCCACGCCCTGTCTGTCACGATCTGTGGGGGAGGGGTGGGTCTAAATTTCTCCCCCTAAACACTTTAATACTCCTTTCAGGTCTTGTTTCACAAAAATACATTTGAATGGAAACTCTTCAAAAAATTTATCTCCATATCCGAAAGTTTCCTCATTCATAATGTGTCTCTGAAAATATCTTCTGGCTTTCAAGTTTCCAGAAATCAATAAATTTTTAAGAGTTCAGATCAGAAAATTCTCAGCCATATTCTCGGAAACTATATTCTATTTTCGAGAATCTAAAGATTTCTTCAGAAACCCCTTTTAAATTGAAAATCTTCTCAGATTTGAAAAAAATATGCCATTTAATTTTCTATCACAATTCCAAGATCAAATATTTAGAATTTCTTCTGCAATATTAATAGTAAAACTAAAGTTAAACAAATCTATTGGCACGTTATTTTCCATGATGAGAAATTTAAAAGATTTTTGATATTTTTGAAATACAAGCGGACTACAGTGAGTCTTCTACACAGGGTTCCAGATTGATTTTGGGAGAGAGGTGCTAAAAGTTTGGCAGAAAGTTCATCATTTTTTCGCAAAAAGTCAATGTTATTTCTGTTAAATTTCTCGCAGAAAATCGATATTATTCGTGTCAGATTTCAGAACTTTAGCAGAAAACGCGACAAAAATAACAGCAAGTGCTTCGGAAAATATTTGGTGGTAATAGCATCGACTTTCTCTGATAAATTGGCTAGAAAAACTTCGATCTTCTGGGAAAAATTCGTTGAAAAGGAGAGTAACTTTCTGAGAGAAAGTTGGCAAAATGAGCGTGATTTTCTGAAAGAAATTCAGCATAGAGGACTTGACTTTCTGAAAGATATCTGCCAGAAACAATATTGACTTTTCGTGAAATATTTGGAAGAAAAGACTTCGACTTTCTAAGAGAAATTTAGCAGAAAGAACACCAAGTTTCTGCAGAAATTCGGTTGAAGGTGAATCTGATTTGATTTTGTTCCACCAAATTCAAGAATTTTTTACCGTAGTGGAATATAAAAAAACTTCGCGGGAAGTATTATCAAAACTTTTGGCAGAAAGACTGAAATTTTTGGGAGTAGAAGCTCCTCTCCCATCCTCCTAATCCGTAAGCCAACTTCTACAACAGACAAATTAGTCCCTATTCTAAGATTAAGTGCAAAACATTTCCAACATTTACCTTAAGTTTGTAGTAATTCGATTGGCGAATATACATAAAAAAACAGCACTCTTACATGATGATGGCAAAAAATAATGGAAGAAAGCATTAACGAAAGGAACGTCAAACGAAAAATTATCTATATTTATAATAAATTTCTTGTTATTTCACACTGATAAGTGCACTGTTTTTATTTAATTCATCACTGTGAATCATACATTATTTATCTATACTTCAGAGTCATAATTTACGAGTTTTTTCAGATTTTTTTTTTTAATAGGACGTATCACAATAACAGATATGTTCATTTTTAGTGACCTATTAAAACTAACAAAACAGATGTAAACATCTCATTTGTAGAATTCAGATAAAGAAGTAAATTGCACAACCTATATGAATGGAAAAAATTAACTTTCTATCTTGTTTATGAACAAAGGAATATGCAATAGAAAAATGTCGCAAAACTTTTATCTCACCGTTTAGATAGAAATATATGTATGCGTTCTTTATATTTTATTTGATTTTATTTCAAAGAAAAAGAAAAGAAAAACGAGAAAAGAAACCTTGAAAATAAAGATTAATTTTTTAACTTATGAAAACTTATTCATACTGATGAGATATAGAAAATCTTAAGAAATAGTGAGAGAAAGAAAACGATTAAATAATCTGAAAAAAGAATCAGAGAAAGGTGATAGGCGAGATGAATACAAAAAGAAGAAGCGATAGAACTGCAACTGGAAACAGAAGCCCATATCATTGTACTAAAAGGAAAAATGGTCAGTTCATAATAAACAGATGTGTTTCAGAACTTTATATTATCAGTAGAAAATATCTGCCAAAAAAACTTTTACCATTTCATATCTGTATACCTTCATAACTTGACTTTTCTCGTGGAAAAGGAAAGGTAGGAAAAATTAAAAACTATTTCTTTAGAAAAGAAAAATACTATTCGTTGTTTGAAGCTCGCTGCTTACTCACAGTGAATAATAAGTGACATATGGTAAGAGAAAAGTTCCAGACAATGAGCTTTGTCTATGCTAGTTTCACCTAAAATAATTCTTACTTTGAAGAGTATCATTTGCTTGCACTATAACAATAATATACAGTGTATTTTAATTAGAGAATCAATTTTTTTTAACTACAACTAATATACACATAGAGTACAATATTCGAAGTTCTGCTCTCAAACAGATCACCTTAACTTCACCACGGAAAAACGGCTAATTTCACAGTTGAGGTGGTACTCTCCTTTCTTAAAAGAACAATTGTCGACTTTCCTTACTTTTTCTTTCCAACAGCAAAGTCGGATTATGTAGGTATATATAGACGTAAAGAGGTAAACGTGTTTGTACATATATGTTATCGAATTAAAAGATAAAGTTCTGAAATACATCCTATTCGATGTGAATTGACCATTTTCTATTTCTACTAAAATGATATGATCTTCTGTCTCCAGTTTCATTTCACTCGCTTCTGACATCAGATTATGTTTTTTATCTTTTCTTTTTATATTTAGCTCACGTACGACACTTCTACTAAGTTTTCTCTTTCTTAAACTTCAATCTCTTATTGAATGAATAACAAAAATTCTAGTTAATATTATTTTCTTGACGAAAGAGTATTACTGATAATTTTTCTACATCTCATCAGTACTAATAAGTTTTCATCAAAGTAAAAGTTAATCTTCATTTTTTAAAGTTTCTTTTCAAATTACAATTACAAAAGCTAAATAATACGTATCTTATATAGGAGACGTTGCACGTAAGCTCCGATCAACGTTGCTCAATTGATATCACCGATTTGGCTGATATTTTTACATTAGGTAGGCCTAAAAGACTTAGGAAGAAACTGAAAATTTCAGTTCAAACGGATGAGTCATTTTGTAGATATAGACAATACAAGTATGAGGGGGTAGGTTCCATTTGGAGCATCTTATAGTGGAATACTTGCCAATAAATCTCCATTTTCTCGAGAACAACTAAAGATATAACCGAGATTTTTTCACCCTAAATACTATCGACGATGGGCTATACTTTTATAGTAACAAAAGTGTCCCATCGCTGGATGATTTTTTCCTGGCATTATATACCATTTTCAGAAAACACCCTCAAATAAATACGGCAAGTTGGTCGAATCAGCGCACTAGAATAAATCGAGAGTAGTCACATTTGAAAGAGCACATCAAAATGCATCGACTGACGTTTTCATAAGTTTGTAGGATTGAACTTTTAGCAAAAACGTTTTTGAACAAGGCTGGACAGGCCGAATTCGGAGTCCGATTCTCACTATGCAGATTGACGATTTATTTTCAAATGTTTGATTAAGCCTCCCCCCCCCCCCAGAAACGAACTTTGTTATTTTCTCATCCGATTCCAACCAAAATTTATGTCTAAAGCATCTCCTCCAAATCTCAAAGTTATACACGAGTTCTAGACACTTTATTGGTCAAAAATAGGGCAAATTTGTTGCAATAAAGATACAAGCTAGAGTGATGTGGCGGCTTTCAGATTGTAGAGTGCCCTTAGGGATAGGACTTAACAAGATCCGATTTTTGAATTTCCCTTTATTTGATTTTTAAAAGACGTTTTTCGAAAAACTTTCAAATTCAAGGTGCTAATGAAAATAGAGTGTCTCAGCTTTTCATTTCAGCAAAAGAGAAATTTAAAAATTGGATCCTGTTAAGTCCTAGCCCTGCATGTCTCCTATATAATAAAAAAAGCTTATTATTTCCATGTCGAATCGTTATGGAGAAAAAACTGCCCGTACGCACTGCACACACGAAAAACCTGATTTTGAGAAAAACGAAAAACTAGGCTTTTTAACGCAGTAAGTGTCTTTATTCGAAATAAATCTACTTATCTTCCTAATATATTCACACTATTCATCAAGCTATATTGATAGCCTATATGGGGACACATCACAATATGGGCAATGGTATACATCGTACAGAAATTGTGGTCGTAGTTCCTTATACGTAGATGTCACGTCATGTTACGGATGTTTTATCAAATGTATGGTTAGTTCGCGTAATTATATTTATACATTTTTATCTATTCAAAATGTTTGTATATATTTCTCTGGATACTTTGATAACGAAAGTGGGCATTCCTTTGTGAAGACCTCGAAGAAAAATTTGTTTAGTGACTTTTCAACCAATCGTACCTCTGAATGTAAAAAAGTGGTTTCTGCTATATTTAAGTCGGCTGACTGCACGAAATGCAGTCAAAGCCGACTTATTGCTTTTCACTCGCTTAGTTGCCATGGTAAATTCTTCTTCTGCTTCTTCTTCTTCTCCTTGTTCTCGACGCATGAGTCACGATTCAAGTCAGCCACTCGTTCTCAGCTTCTGAGCATCATTTTCAGTCGAAAAAAGCCTTGACGAGATCCTGAGAACATGACGAGTGCACATCTGAAATCCTTTTTTCGAAATTCGACTCCAATCGGGAGATAGAAATACAACAAAAACAATGATAATTACGTATGAGTCACGATTTAAGTCAGCCAGCCGTTCTCTGTAACTCATGATGTTTTCAAACTGAGAAAAAGATTGCTGAAATCGTGAGATCGTGACGATTGCACATCTGCAAGGGTGGGTGTGGGTGTAAATTGACTTTCGTTAAACAACACTCAACACTCATACTCAACCACACCGCACACGCCCACGCCTACGCCCACCCATATCCACACCTACCCACACCCACACCCTCACTCACACACCCACACACACCCTATTCATGATGCTCTTGTTCCGTAATAGTACGACGAGTTTTGATTTCTGAAATAGTGAAATCGATAGCCCAGATCAAGATCTAGTATCTAGTCTTTGAAATAAGCCATTACCAGAGAACATATAAAACTTTTGAACTGTATAAGATAAAGATCTGGAGTTGTTCTAGAGTTTTAGAACTTGATCTGGGCTATCGATTTCACTATTTAAAAATCAAAACTCGTCGTACTATTACGGAACAAGAGCATAGTGAATATTGTAGAGAAATATTTACTATGTACAATTTTATATGTAGTTCTGATATTTAGAACTATTACGTGCCCTGCAACGCTCTATCGGATGATGAAAACCGCAGGTCTATATCATGTTCTTTTCAAAAGTTATAGCCATTTTCTCGGACCGCCTTCTTTCCAAAAATGGATACTATATCGTGCATCAGATATTTTAGACAAAGTTTCGCTTAATGTTTATCAAAGTGTATTTTCACTTTGAAAATAATTCACTGATAATCATTGTAAATTGTTTTGAGCTAGCATTTTATAATAAGCTCCACGTCGTTGTATCAGTTGTGTATGAGTACCATTTTCTACTATATGTCGACTAGCCAGCACATAAATCAAATCACATGAACGAATTGTTGAAAGACGATGAGCAACAATGAGTAATGTTCGACTAGGGTCTTCCATTTGAGCTTTTACAAGAGCTTCTTGAACAATCTATAATTGACAAATGAAGATGTTATTTGGATTTCTAAGCGAAAGAAAGGAAAACATACTTGTTCATTGTGTGAATCCATAGCACTCGTAGCTTCATCTAAGAGCAATACTTTAGGTCGACGAACAAGAACTCGAGCAATAGCAATACGTTGTTTCTCACCACCCGACAGGAAACTGCCTTTCAACCCTACTCTTGTTTCGTAACCCTAGAAAAAAGATCATACAATAATATTAGATACATTATATAATTTTTATTGATCAACCTGAGGCAGTTGCTCAATAAACTGATGAATGTTAGCTTTACGAGCTGCATTAACAATGTCTTCCATTGGAATATTTTCTAAGCCATATGTTATATTTTCAGCTATTGTTAAATCGAACAAGATTGGTTCTTGACTCACAAGGCCAATCTGAGAACGAACCCAATGTAGGTTTAGTTGTCGAATATCAATACCATCAAGAAGCTAGATTGAATAGACAAATTTTATATAATTACTTAAACTATAAGTAAAAGATATACTAACTAGTTGGCCACTTGTAACATCATAGAATCGTTCTAAAAGTTGAATAATTGTCGATTTTCCACATCCAGATGTACCTATATAGATCATAGTACGCAAATAAAATTTAAAAGAAACATTTAATTCAAACATACCAACAAGAGCCACACGTTGACCTTATCAGTGAATACCAATTTAAAAAAAAATGATTAAATCAAAATTCCTCTGACTTACTTGGCTTGAGATTCAGCTGAAACTTTTGAAGAATAATCGATGTTGGTCGACTTGGATACATGAATTTGACTTGATCAAACTCTATCTTACCACGAAAATTAACCTACAGAAACCATAGTATATCCATCGTATGTTTATGACTGAAAGGAAATTGTGATCTTGTAGATTCGCTTACCAATTCTTGCCCTTCAGTAGATGTATTGTCGATAGCTGGTTTTCGATCAAATAAATCAAAAAATGTTTGAGCAGCTGAGACTGATGCAGCGATACGCTTAGATCTACAATGTAGACAGTAGAAGAAAAAGCAAAGTAGATATTTAGAATGTTACGTCATTCCGATCAATTTTAGTGCCCGTAACGAAAGAATAACAAAAGCAAACACCCTAATAAATTGAAAAGGTAATACAACATTATCGCTAAATTATCAAACTTTTGTTTCAATTACATCATAATACGGTTCGAGGTAAGTTCTTTCTTTTCCACAAGGACAAGAGCACGCCAATACACAAACGCCATAGTATATGACTCTGTTATCCAGTATATACCATATGCAATTGAATGTAGTATCACAGGTTTCCAAGACGATCTATGAAAAAACAAGATCAATTAGAAATGTATACATTTATAGAATCTGACTAACTAACCTAAATACTTGATGAATAAGTTTGGAATATAGTCTTAAAACTTCCTTTTCTGCTGACAACTGTTTTATTGTACGCATATTGTGAATAACTTCAGTAGCAAACTGCACAAGTGAAAGACAAAACGAATGTAGTATATTTGATTTACAAAAAACAAATAATATAATAATTTTTTGTACAAAACAAAGGTTATCAGCTATAGCCTGATCTTACCGAGCTTGCTTGTCCGATAATTTGACCTGATTTTTTATTCAGCCGTACTTGTAAGGACAAATCTGCATAGGAAATTAGGGATAGGATAAAAAAAGGACAAAAAACAATCAATGCCAATTGCCAACTAATGAAACATCCAAATAGAATTCCAAAAAACGGTAGCGCGATAGCTGTACAGATCCCTCCTAATCGTGTACCAGTCATATCTTGGATGGCTGATGCATCAGAAGAAAGACGAACACAAATCGCACCAGAACTATTTTCAGGTCGATCAAAATACGCAACTTCTTGGCGAAGTAGGCATGAGAAGGCTTTCGAACGAATACGTTGCGTCAATTTCGATCCTGATATGGCAAAAGCTGTATACTATAGAAAAGAGTGAATGAATCATTGACGAAATTCAAAAGCAGCATTTCTACCTGAAATAAGCGAAGAATCAGTACGACAACACCCAAAAGTAAAAATAGAAGACTGGTAATCAACACTTGATGACGTTGTTCAGATGTTGAACAGTATTTGAATGCCTACATAGCAAATAAATCAAAATTAGGTGATATCTATTGTCAATCTTTTTGCACGATGTTTTATAGGTGTATTACTCACATCGACTATTTTGGCAAGTAGAAATGCAAACAATGTTTGAGCTCCGCCAAAAAGTCCGCATGCTATACATCCAATCAATATGGTCATCCACTCAGGACTATTCATTGATAAAAGTCTTAAAAAGACGAATCTTCTTGTCAATGGCTTGGAACTTTGCTAAACGAGAGATTATCAATAATAATTTTTATAAATGATTGCAATAGTATTTGTACTTCGTTCATTTTAACAATTTCACTATTGCCAAGTAAACGAGAGCGTTCCACTGTTAAAGAAAAAAGATTAAGAAAAGTTAAGACTATTATTATTTGAATATTAACACCCTAGAGAAAGTACTGAGCTCAGGGTACCCATGTACTGAGAAAGCTCTAGCAGGGTACCCAATATGGGTACTTTGAAAATTCTCAGTAATTTTACTGATGTATGTACTGTTTGGGGTACCCGTAAAAGTACATTCACTGAATAAGTACCTGCATGGATACACAAGTCTGTAACTTTACTGAGGAAATCTCGACAGGGTATCCTAAATTTTTTGCGTGCTGTGTGGCGATTATTCATTCACCGTTTTCTTTTTTACGTACGGCTCTATATAAACAACTTGATAAATCATAAGAAAATAATCAATTTTCATACTAGTTTTTTCTAAATTATTTCTTGACTATTTCTTAGTCGAGGAAATGCCGAGCTTGGTCGTAAATTAAGATCGGACTACCCTGAAGTGGTCTACGACCAACTCAAGTTGAGTCGGATCCCGACATTGTTCCTGCTAAGTTTTTGGAATTGAAAAAATTAAATTGAATAAAGTAAAAAAAAATCTAGTAAATTATCTCAAGAAAAAGAAAAAATTTTAAAAAGTCAAAGATCAGGTTCGATCCTGAACATACTGAAAATTTGGTAACAGGGTACTTAGAAATACCATACAATGGTACCCAATTCAGTACTTGATCAGTACCTTTAGGTACCCAATTACTGTGCATTTTCCAGCAGGGTACTTGCCAAAGTACCACTTAAGTACCTGTAAGTACCTGCAA